TGAGTGGAATTAAAACTTAAGCCAATAAAATGAGTTCTTTTGCAGAACGTTTGATTTTGAGTAACTTTGAACTGTCAGTGGTAAAAGCGTGATAAAAACTACCAGAATAAAGTATGTGCACACCGAAAAGCTCGTTAATTTTTACGATAGAGCTTTGGTTATAACTATTAATTAACAATAAAATATGGTTTTATGAAATGCGCCAAAATTTGGTAAGTGTGGTAAAATTTGATAATTTTATCATGATAACTTAGAACATGGCATAGAAATCATTTGTCCTGTTAAATTTATTTTTCAGTTTTGCATATTTACTAAATGTCTGGTAATACCACCGTTAACATATGAATGCAATAATTACCAAATGTATGGTTTAAATACCGTGTATTTTAGTTTTATTAGCCAGAAATACATTTTTCGTCCTTTTTTTTTAAAAAAAAAGATTATAAATTCTTTTATTATACAGTACAGTTATTTTAAATTTTTTTCACCGTGTTGGATGATTTTAAAGCCTTATTGAAAGATTATTAATGTTTGCCTAACACAAGCAAAGTTTTTGCTGAAAAGAATGAAAAATTTTAAGATAAGCGTTATAAAAAAATAATTTTCTAATGTAAATTAAAATGTTTTTTTTGAAAAATACTTGACAAAAATTACAAATAATGTAAACATTATTAACAGCTTTGTATTTTATGTCTTAATATTTTTTCTCAAAATTGTTGCATCATTTTTCTAAGGATTATTTAATTATTGATATTCTCATCAGAAATTTCTTCAATGCTTGAGAAAGTAAAAAAAAATATATAGTACTTTTCTGAATACAGTAATATATCATCGCATGATTTCATAAACCATCAATTTTGCTTAATGTTCTAATTCTTTGCTTTTGACTGGTTTTTTGTTAGCTTTAAATTCTTAAAAATTGTTGTAAGAGCACAGTTAGCCGTCATTTATATTTATTTATAAAAACTGAGATACGAAACATGGTGTTATCTACATGCATTGAAAATCATTAATAAAACTCTATACTATCATTACTTTGGCGTAAAGTTATTTTTTTTAAAAAATATATAATTACCGTGATTATTATTATAATCAATCGTTCGAAATTTTCCGTATTTTACAACTTAGTAATAATGATTCAACTAATAAGTAAAAAAATTATTAAATATTAAGTTAAAAATAATGTAAAGACCACGAGGGAAAAACGGTTTATGAAGGACTGATTCGAAGAAAATGATTTCACGCGTAGCAAGGAGGAAGAGTTTTTCTGCAAGTATGACTTTCTCTATGTAATAACTCTCGGGGAGAACCGATTTTCACGTCATTGAGTTGTAGAAATTTAGTTACTCCCAAAAGACAACAGATGGCAATCCAATCGTTATTTTTGTGAAAATCGGAAAAAACCGTTCTATCTCCATTTTCTTTTGTTTTAATAGTCAAAGTAGTGATACTTAAAAGAAGAGTTATTAACCACAATTACCAAGTTATTACCACAATTAACCGTAATTATAATTACAAAACAAACAATTGTAAACATCTTAATCAACGAAAGACTATTAATTATTTTAAAAATATTTAATGAATGAAATTTTATTAGTTATTTAGGAAATATTTAATATTGAAATTTTATTAATTATGCTGAAAATAATTAATGATTGATTAACTGCTTTGAAAATGTTTAATAATTGAAATTTTATTAATTATTTTGAAAACATTGAATGAATGAATGAAAAATGAAATATTTTCATTGTATAATTTTATCAATATTTTTCTTAAAAATTGTTTTATTTTTGTCAGACAGGTGAATTCAAAGGTCTAGAGGGGTATCTAGTCTATTTCTTAATTGGGTTTTATTGAAGGCATAAACTGCAAATGATTACGCTGAAGTATGGCTTTATCCTATAAGTAATCCTTTCAGGAATTGGAAAATAAAGCATGCATTGAAACATTTTGTAATATTCAACACGTAAAAAATATATTAATTAGTAGACGGAAGCTAATTTGTAAAATGCACATTGTTAATAGAAAGTAAAATTATTTTGATATTTCAGCTCCTTATTTTAATGAGTCCCGTTTCTTGAAATTTTACGTTAAAAGCATGCAACACGCGGTTCTTCAATGAAGCTGTCGCTGTAAAACTGTTTCTTACAGCAAACTATTAAACAAGTTTTCCAAAAACTAGAATTTGGAGCAAAGTTTGAGCCACTGCATTATGTTTTACAAATATACAGGATAGTATAAAAAAAAGTGCGGCTATCAGGAGAACTCCTCCAGACATCCGTCTCGCGTCGTGGCGGGTACCATGGTTACGAGGAAAGGTCACTTCGAATAGGGTTGTGGGGTGAATAGTTTTGTCATAATCTTAGCGTAGGTCGTCGTAAGAAAACCAATTGACACCTTCTTTCCTCCATTTCACCCCCATTAGAAATGTGATCTCGCTTGTTACCATAGCAGCAGACAGCCCCAGACTTTCAGTCTGGGGGAGTTCTCCTCAAAGCCGCACTGTAGTTGAATCATTCGCAACAGAGATTAACTTTACGAACCAAGAGTTGATTCAATGCAATTGGAATAATATTGGATCCGATTTAGTGGAAACATGGGAGGAATTGTGATAATTTCTAAAAGATATTACTTTGATTGTATAAAATTCTGTTGTATGTGTGCTAAATTATGCATTGAAATATATATTTTTGTTTGAATAAAAGATTTATGTAAAAACTAATTATCTTGCATATTTCTTAAAAGTTAGCTGAAGCAATGTAATTTTTATAATTAACTAGTGGTATTTGTATGTAAAAGAACAGCAGGCAAATAAGAGTGAAAATTTTTTTAAATTATTAATTTTGCATGTTTGTGAAGTAATAAATAATTCGACGTTTAAAAATGTCTTTTTATAAGAATTTTAAACTATTCTTTAAAAAAGAAGTTATTTTTAATGTCAACTATTAGCTAGATTTATTCGAATTTTTACATTAATTCTCTAAAGCCAACTATCTATAATTTGATGGATTATAAGAAATAGCGTAATATATTTTGAAATAATATTTAATATAATATCTAATAAATAATTGTAATTTAGAATAATATGAAAAATTCTTATGAACTTTTGTTTGGAATTTAATTTTTCTTTTTTTTTAATAACCGTTCCAGGTTTACGACATACATGCTTTACGTGGTTCTATTCACTAAAATACTATTCATTTCATTTTACTCACTATTCAATAATTATTCGCGTTTCAAGCTGAAGTTTTATTAAAGTCCTTTAATTTACTGTTGTACGAGANGCGTTATGGTTTGGGGAATGTTTTCCTGGCATTCACTGGGTGCACTCATCATTGTAGAAGGCACGATGGATCAGTATAAGTACATATCTGTCCTTGCGAACCATGTCCATCCCTACATGCAAATGATTTTTCCTCAGAATGATGGCATCTACCACCAGGACAATGCCAGGTGTCATACAGCTCGCAGTGCATGTGCGTGGTTCGAAGAGCACCAGGATGAATTTACCGTACTCCCCTGGCCAGCAAACTCACCGGATTTGAACCCAATCGAGAATCTGTGGGACCACCTCGGTTCGGGCCATTGTTCGGGCCATAGATCCTCAACCGCGTAATCTAGCGCAGCTGGCCACGGCACTGGAGTCGGCATGGCTCAACATCCCAGTGAACACTTTCAGAAACCTAATTGACTTTCTTCCTGCACGTTTCGTAGCGGTCCGCTCAGCCAAAGGTAGTTATTCTGGCTCTTGACAGGTGGTCACATTAATGTGACTGAACTGTGTATATTAATTAGTAGACGGAAGCTAATTTGTAAAATGCATATTGTTAATAAAAAGTAAAATTATTTTGATATTTCAGCTCCTTATTTTAATGAGTCCCGTTTCTTGAAATTTTACGTTAAAAGCATACAACACACGGTTCTTCAATGAAGCTGTCGCTGTAAAACTGTTTTTTACAACAAACCAGTTAACAAATTTTCCAAAAACTAGAATTTGAGCAAAGTTTGGACCACTGCATAATGTTTTACAAATATACAGGATAGTATTTAAATCATTGGCAACAGAAATGAACTTTACGAACCTCCAAGAGTTGATTTAATGCAATTGGAATAATGTTGGATCCGATATAGTGGGCAAACTGATCAGTAAACTAAGAGGAATTGTGATAATTTCTAAAAGATATTATTTTGATTGTTTAAAATCCTGTTGTGTGTGTGCTGAATTATGCACTGAAATATATACTTTTTTGTTTGAACAAAAGATTTATGCAAAAAATGATTTTCTTGCATATTTCTTAAAAAAGTTTTTTGCAGAAGCAATGTAATTTTTATAATTAACAAGTGGTAGTTTTATGTAAAAGAACAGCAGCAAATAAGAGTGAAAAAAATTTTAAAATCTCGTATTTATTAATTTGCATATTTCTGAAGTAATAAATAATTCGCCGCTTAAAAATTTCTTTTATAAAAGTTCTTAACTATTCTTTAAAAAAGAAGTTATTTTTAATGTCAACTATTAGCTAGATTTTACATTAATTCTTTAAAGCCAACTATCTATAATTTGATGGATTATAAGAAATAGCGTAATATATTTTGAAATAATATTTAATATAATATCTAATAAATAATTGTAATTTAGAATAATATGAAAAATTCTTATGAACTTTTGTTTGGAATTTAATTTTTCTTTTTTTTTAATAACCGTTCCAGGTTTACGACATACATGCTTTACGTGGTTCTATTCACTAAAATACTATTCATTTCATTTTACTCACTATTCAATAATTATTCGCGTTTCAAGCTGAAGTTTTATTAAAGTCCTTTAATTTACTGTTGTACGAGAAATTGTATTGAAAAACGCAAATTATACAGATTTTTATTGCTTACAAAGCTGTAAAATTCCCAAATATTAAAATAGAAATTTATTTATGGTTCAAAAACAGTAAATATAATATGTATATACCAATAATGCAAAATGTGAAAGCTGATATTAAAATTCTTACTTGTTTTCTGGTAATTTTTCATTGTAGATTGAAGTATGAAGAAATGTAGCTTTGTTTAAAATGGCTTAAATTTTACACTCGGTTATACCTTAGCTCCTATTGAAGAAAAAGCGAGAAATTAAAAAGTTTGAAACTCTAAAAGTATTATTTTTATAAAAGTAACAAATAAAAGAAATTTGTTCAAAATCTGTAATTTCAATTAAATAGAAAATCAAATTTTAAATTTTCAGAATTTTTAAAAAATGTAAATCTGTTACTTTTTGAAGAATTTATATTTCCATAAAATGCGAATGGAATTGATTTAACGCTCTATGATTAATAAAAACAACTACCATCTAGCGAATTCTGATTTAATGTTTAGTTAAATAAGTGATGCATTTTCATCATGAATCGCTTTTCCTCGGGCAGTCAAAATAGTTTTGATGTTTTAATCCCACTTAGCTCATTACTGTTTCTTCAGATTCCGATTACTTTCCTTCCTTTCAAATAATCATTTGTGACACTTAATATAATATTCATTCTCGGCTTAGTTTTTAACATTGATTTAAACAATAAATACTACGGGGAAAAATATTATTATCATCGGAATGTTCTTAAGGCCTGGTTTCTTAGGACAGGACGCCGTCAGCTGGAAATCAGAGCTAACCTCTGATTGGTCCATTTGTGAGTTTGATGGTATACGTCATCGACCGCTCATCTTGAACTGCAATTGCCGTCCAACTCAACTGCAGTTGGATTACAACGTGACGTTAACCAGAGAAGCAATGGCGGACAACATCCAACAGCACATTGAAATCAGCTAAGATTTTGACATTAAACATAGCTTCTTCATTAAACATAGCACTCTTCATTTAGCTCAGCTATAATGCGTTTTTTCTTGGACAAAGTCATTATTTGTTCTCTAAAACACTGGTCGACAATAACAAAATCAATACAAATTCAAACTAAATATTTGTTTACGTTATTAACTCATGCGCAATGAGAGATAATGTCTGCGTTGGACCGACTGCTCACGCTGAGCTAACAAAAAAGTATTTTTTTGGTGTCAGCTCTACGTCTACTTTCCGCTGACGCCTAGAAAAAGGCGCTAGTTCTAAGACACCAGGCCTTGAGCTAACAAAACAGTATTTTGTTGGCGTCAACGGGACGTTGACGTCCCGCTGACGCCCAGATAAGGCTCTTGTCCTAAGAAACCAGACCTTACCATAAATGTTTAACATATGTTCATTTTATCTTAGAAAAAATGTGACTGCTTGAAATTTTTGAAATGCAACAACTCTTATCTATTAAAACTAAATCCACATTTGCAATTTTTTTCAGATCAATATGCTTTTCTATTTTTCCTATTGCTAAATAAAGTTTAAAAACAAATTTTTGGCCTAAATGCTGAGGAATGCTTAGGAAAAGGAAAGATAGCCTAAATTTGGCGAGTCATTGATGGATTATATTGCCAAAAATAAAGCAAACACTGCGCTTTATACTAAATTTTAAATAAGTTGGCTACAACTTAATCACCAAATGGACCGTTAAAATTTAATGTAACCCAGTAATCGAAAGATTTTTGTAGTTAGAGAAATAGTTTTTTTCTCCAATGCTCACCTGGATTGACATTTCGTCAATTCAGGTGTATTAGAACATATTTGCTGCACTCTTTTAAGTGGCACCATATTAGATGGGCCAACGTTGCTCTCACAGTAAGGACAGATAGTACAGAGAATAAAAAATCCATTCCTTGCCCAGGATTCGAACCCAGAACCTTTCTGATGCAAGGCCAGTTCCCTGACCCCTACACAGTCCGGTTGGCGGAGAAAGCAAAAGGCCAGTCATTGGCCCTTTGCGAACTAAGTCAGGATGGTGTGCCCTTCGTTTGATAAGAGAGCACCATAAGAATGAAAGTGCGTCTTAGCTCTGAACCCCACGGATAGATGGTAAGTCTACTGATTTGAAGGCCACTTCCTTAATTTAAACATAGATCTAATTTTTCGTAGATCACTGCATCAATGTTAATAGCATTGTTTCCGAAAGCAAGGAAAAACTAGTAAATCGAATGTTTCGAATGTATGTGTGGGGTGGTGGTCACATCAGATGGCGGTCACTTTGATTAAACAAAAGTATGGGACTAAACTCTGTTGCGTAAGTCACATTAATTTTCATTGAGTATTAAGACCAAAATCTGTTCTGCGAGCTATATTATGCAACAAATATGTAAAATTGTTTAAATAAAAAAATTCTATTGAGTCTCAAGACCTAATTCTATGGAGCACGCAAAATGAAGTTCTTTGGAATATTAAGACTGAACTCTGTTGTGCACGCATAGTTACTGGAGCAAATTTGATTAATGGAAGATTTAAGACCAAATTTTCTGAGTAAGCTAAATAAACTTCCATTGAGTATTGTGATCCAATTCCGTTGAGTGCGATAAATTATGTAATAAAATATGTTTGCTTGAAAAGATTATATTTATGCAAAAGTTCTTACCTTTGTATGTTTCTTGAAAAAAGTAAAAATACACTGGGTCTATTGAAATGAATGAGTTTTAGAATACGTTTATATTTTTATTAGGCCAAAACGTTGAATAGAATAAGAAAATTTTGAATAAAGAAATTCTGACCTGAAAATTCTGAGTATCAAGACCTAATTCTATAGAGTACGATAAATTAAGTTCTTCGCAATATTAAGACAGAACTCTGTTGTGTACGTATGAATACTGACTGGAGCAAATTTGATTAATGGAAGATTTAAAACCAAATTTTGTTGAGTGAGCTAATTAACTTCCAATGAGTACTAAGATCAAATTTTGTTGAGTGCATTAAGTTATGTAATAAAATATGTTTGCTTGTAAAGATTATATTCATGTTCTTCCCTTAGCATGTTTCTTGAAAAAAAAAATGAAAATACAATGGGTCTATTGAAATTAATGAGTTTTCGACCACGTTTATATTTTTATCAGACCAAAATGCGAAATAATGCAGTCAAAACGTAACTTCTTATGTTAATTATCGATGAATGAAAAACGATTTTGTTTCGACTTTTTTTGAAACTTTACATCATTGTTATATGAGTTATTTCGAGTGGTTCATTTGTTTCAAGGATTGTTATGTTTGATTAGTTGATTCACTAATTAGCTAAGCAAGGTCATTAAATATAGTAACGTCATACTACTTCAGAATTACTTATGAAAATTCAATTTTTATTTCGTAGTCCACAGTCAATATTTCAATTCTGACGTTAAATGTGATACTTATGACAAACGTACTCTTAAAAATGCTGTTAATTTGTATTTAAGAGCGTTTGCTTAAAATTAATAAAGCAATTGAACTTTTAAAAATTTAGTTTTTTTACTTTCGAATCGGTTACAATTTGAAACGTATAAGTATAATTTAAAAATATATATTCCTTACTATTTAAGATTTCAATTACATTTTGAGCTTAAGCTCAAAATCTGATTTATACTTGAAGTTCAGAATGACTGCTCTTAAGTCAGAGAACTTCATTATATTTATTATTAATGAGAAATTTAGTGAAAAGAACAAATATATGATCGAGATTGGTGGATTTCAAGGGGCTTATTATTTCTCAAATTAATAGATAGAAAATTATTTGTAGTAATAAATCCAGCGTTTGTGTTGAAAGTTAACAAAAACAAAGTAAATTTTAAATAATTTTCCTACTGGTTTCACTAATTATTATTTTTTTTTATCTCAACTTAAAACTTTTTAGCTTTAAAGTTAACTTATAGAGTTCATTATCGGTATTGCAGATCGAATAACCCATTTTTATATCTATTTATGTCGCATCATCTTTAATCCAATATTTTGTAAGGATGACTGCAGGTGTTATAGTGTAATTTTTCGGAGATTTGGAAAGTTTTTGGCAGGAGATCGAACTTTGATCAAATCATTCTTTATGTTTAAATATTTTTTTTTAGTATGTTTGCTGTTCTTTTTACTATTAAAAGTGTAGAGTTCTGCGAAGTGCTACAGGGCTTACTTGCTGTTGCTACATTGCAAAAACGAAATCCTGTTTCTAATGTTACATAGAGTTCTTTTACGAACTAAGTCAGGATGGTGTGCCACTCATTTCATAAGAGAGCACCGCAAGGAGGAGAGTACCTCTTAGCTCTGAACCCCACGGATAGAGGGCAGCACCACCTTTTTTGAAGCAATTTTCTCAATTTAAACATATATTTGAAGGGGAAGGAAATTTTTTCCAGATCCCTGTACCAATAGTACAGCTTAGTGACTGACCATATGACTATCAATCCCATGCATTTTACGAGCAAGTATATCGCATGTACTCGGAGGGTCTTAATGGAATCTAAGATCGAATCTCGTCCCCTCTGGACTCTCTAACCATTGGGCTGTTACGGCCACTCTTTGACTTAGGTATCTTTTGGTGCAGACAAGTTAGACATTAACGAATTTAGGTTTGATTTAATTTTTGACAAAGTCTCCAAAAGGAATGGAGACCACTATAGAACATTTGTGTTTCCTATTTTCTAAAAACAAACAGTAGCAAATTTTTGAACACATTGAATATTTCATCTCTTTATTAAAGTTCAATATACAAAGAAACACTTTTCTATATATTCCAATTTAAATTACCTATGGTAAAAAATTTACGGTTTGTCGAAGTTTATTTTGAAATAAAAAAATCAGTACTATCCCTTCCATTTGAAGATTTCTTAGATTCAGCTGACTGAGAAGGTAAAAAAAAGCATTACCTTTAACCCATAAGACAAGCCATTACAAGAGACATTTATAAATATATATGTCAAACGGAAACATGAAGAAGTTTATGGGTTCCACAACCAGAGAAATACGAACACATTTAAAATAGTGAGTCCCTTGGTATTAGGTATAAATTGTAACCTGTGTCTAAAGCTTAAACAAACTTACCACTCTTTCTGTTTTCCTTATCAAAAACGGATTATTACTGCATTTCTTACTATATGTTGTTGCAGTTGGTGTTGCAGTTTATCCATTGTTGTCAATACATTTTTCATTGGCTTGAAAATCAAATGGTAGGATCCAATTTTCCCACATTAATTTTCATATTGGTTTGGTTGTCATCAGAATAAAATTGATATAAGTCATAAAGTTTATATTTCTCTATAAATATTTTTTTCTTAAATTTAAAGGTTAAAATTACCTGTATTGTTATTATTACGTTTCAGATTTTCTTTGATTTGTGAAGTAGGAGTTTGAATGGATTGTATTATTATTAGAACAATGTAATTCTACGTCAGGATAAAGTTAAAGATAAAGTTATTTAAATCGATGTCTGATCTTATAAACCGTCTTACAATTATTATTTTTGTTGCAAATTACATTAATATACCATTATGAATTACTGACATTCGTTATATGATTTAGAATTTAACTTTCAGCTTCATGCACAAAGTGATGAAAGCGAAAATTGGATTTAAAATACATCCTTCCGTTTGGTAAGAAAAAATATAAAATCACAGTTGTAAATTCACGAAATTTGTTAATAACATTAAACTTTTAATTTTAAATGTTATTTCAAATAATGATCAAAATGATTTATGTTCACTTATAGATCTTAATAGTATCATAAGGGAAATATTAGAAGAGGAGGACAAGTGTTCTTTTTAGTACATATATTTTTAGTTGAATAATTTCAATTGTTTTCTAACAAGAAACAGCAATTATTGCGAAGCAATCATCGGGGTTAGAGCGCGTGAGCGAACAGGGGGCTTAGGCCCCCAGTGTAGTAATATTGTAACGAGTGATATGATAGTTTTACATTAAAAAAATTATCTTTAAAAATTGTCTTCCTGAAAATAAAGCAATATTTACTTTAAATATTTAAAATATTTGCATAGTTAATTTATTTCAAAAGGATTGTAAAGATTGCATAGAATTAAGATAAAACTACATACAAGTTTAAGGTTAAAGGTTATTTAAAGGGAAAACTATATTCGCAGAAAAATTTGTTAAATATTGAACCATGACATCGGTACCTTAAACCATAATGCACTATTAATTTTTTTTCTATTTCAATAAGGTTTTTAATTAAACCATGTTTCCGTTTAACCGTAGAAGTGTCAATTCTAAGAAGTATGATAATATTGCTCACCTTATCACCATATCAATGTTTCTACAAATATGAATGATATTATTGTTCATTTCTATCCGAAATTTATAGCGCAGTGAGTAACTCGAGCTTTAAACATAAAATTTGGTTTCAAGGCTTAGTAACAATCGTATTATTATAGACTGTAAAAAAAAATTACCTTAAACTACTGGAATACGATAGTTAACCCAAGATCAAATCATTCATAAAAATTGCAAAAAAAAGAAGAACGAAAATGTAAAAATTTAAACACATTGGAAAAATGCATTTGGGACAAGCTAGAGACTTGAACAAAAAGGGATGCATTTGGGACAAGTTATAGACCTAAACATCAATTTATAAATTTTATAAACTTAGGCAAGGATTTGAACATACCTTTGCTAATAAAATTCTGAAGAACAGTAAATAAAAACAAAATATCGTTTCTGCACAATATTTAGAAAGTAAATGTTTTTAGGGAAGGTTCGCCAAGAGAATTTGGGAAATGCATATTAATTGATATAATGTTGGAGAAGAATTTTTTTTGATTGGCTATTGCAATTACATAAATTTTCAGGCTTGTGTGCTCAAAATAGGCTTATAAACCTTCGTCAAGAAGAAAAAAACAGATAGCACAATAGGAGAGACAGCACCAAGTAAATTTTTTTGAGAACCACGCTGTTCTACGTTGTTTATTGGAATGATTTCATCAGCCATACAACTAAACTGTGCATAGCTCTCATCAACGTCCCGACTGATCGTTAAGACACAGTTCCCAGCAGATCATCGAAGTCAAGCATCACTGACTGAGGTCAGTGTGCGGGTGGGTGACTACTTGGATCAGTCCGCGTAGGGACCGAGGGTGTGCGGTATTGTTCCTCGTTAAACTGTTTCACCGTAAAGTGCTCGACTTCGCGTGCAGGTCATTGGGCTACCGAAGCAGGGGTGCCATCCCCTCTGCAGAGGATCAAAATTGTGATGGCATGTCTTCGGATCATCCTCAGGGATGTTTCCCAGACCGTCGCCAATAGCCCATTGTGCAGCTCTAGTGCGACGTAAATGAACAACAAGAAGAAGATTGGAATTACATACATTTATAGGCTTGTGTGCTCAAATTAGGCTTATAAACCTTTGTTAAATAGAAAGACAGATATCACAGTACGCAGAATGACAGTACAAAGATACAGGGTAACAGCGGAATTCGAACCCACTACCTCCCAGCTTTACACAGCGTTTGGCAGGCGATACCACTCTGCCAGAGAGGCTCCACGTCAGTAGTTTTGATATTACTGATAGTTTGACATTCATGCAAAAACTGTGAATTTAAGTTGGATAGAAGTCCTTTTTTTTAGACAGATGGGATATTACACCTAATATGTCTCATATTATACTGTTAATCTGGTTTAATCCTCTTAAATTATGGCTCTACGAAATTGTTGTTCTCTGGAACGATTTCACCAAGTAAACATTAAGCCTGTGCATAATTGCCTTTTAGTTCCAAGATATTGGTTGCCATTGTAATACATGAGAGATTTAAGATGTTACCAGTTCGGTCAGAAAAAACGATTTCAGTTGGAACTTATAGACAGTTGGGATAATGCATCTACCATGCTTTACTGGTTATTAGGTTCGATCAGCTACAGATCTACGCATACATCAAGCCAGCACTTCATCAAGTGCTTTTGGGAGTAAGAAGCAAATCGATATTGTCCTTTGTGAGAAAACTGAACAGTTACTAGTTCGATTAGAAAGATTGAAAGATGTGGCAAGTTTTTGGCAGTTGGGATATTACCTCTACCATGTTCTATGGTGTATAGGTTGTGAAGTGTGATCCGCAGCAAATCTGTTTTCTATATGAAGCCTGCGCTTTATCAAGTACCTTCAGGAGTAAAGTGCAAATAGATATTGTGCTTTGTGAGAAAACTGAGCAGTTGCTAGTATGGCCAGAAAGATCGATAGAACTCTCAGGTTTTGGAAAGTTGGGATATTATACCTACAAAGTTTCATATTGTACTGGTTACCAGATTCGATCCGCTACAACAGCGTTCGAAAATAAGATGCAAATCGACATTGTTCTTTGTGAAAAAACCTTAGTTACTAGTTCAATCAGAACGATTTGCAGTTTTTGGGCAGATGGAATATTGCACTTACCGTGTATTATGCTGCGTTGATAAATACTTTTGATTCACTACAGTTACGGCTCAGCGAAAAGTTGTTCTGGGAAACGATTTCCACAAGTGAACGTCAAATCTCTGAAAGATACCATTTTACATTTCAACTAGTGAAAAAACTAAGAAGTTACTAGTTCAGTGAGAAAGATTGAGTGAAGTCGCTCTTTTGAGTCGATGAGGTGTTACGCTCTTACATTTATATCACATGCCGCATTGCTAACTAGCATCGATCAGCAACAGTTAAGATTCTACAAAATATTCTGCGCTTTTTTAATACAGTGCTTAGTTTAAAGCAAAAAAGTCAGTAAAAGCGAAGCAATTGCTAAAAGTTTTAAGTAAAATATTTTTATTGCGATAGCTCCTACCTCTTCATAGTTTTATTGTTTTTTTTACGCAAAACATTTATATATTTGACTGCTTTATTAATAAAAGGGGATGGAGGGTAGCCTGGCTAGTAGGGCGTTGGGTTCATGTCCCAAAGATCATGAGTTTGACCTCCATCGGCCGAAGACTTCTCATGTACAAAAAAGTGATTGGTCCAAGCTAAAAATCAAATCTTCACCTCTGGGGGTACTGGATAGCAGGTTGATCGTGCTCTGGTTCAGGTCAAAAATACGATCTGGGGAAGGTTGGATCGTGTGTGAATGTGTCCTCTCTGTAAAACAGGATGTGACGCATGTATGTTGGCTCAGGGGTGTTTCCCAGGTTGTCGGCAATGGCCCATTGAGTAGCTCCAGTGCGACTTAAATAAAAGTACAAATAAAATATTTAAAACAGAAAAATTCTACTTGAGTATAAACACTAAAAACAGTTACCATAAAACAACGCCTGCGTATGCAATACAAAAATGCGAAAGCACTCGTTTAGAAAATAATTCGACTAATTAAGCATAATTTCCGAAAGTTTTCCTACTTTACTTTCCATAATGACTTTACAAATATATTCTATTTAAAACATTTTTGTAGGGATATATATATATATATNTATATATATATATATATACAGAAAACATGTAAAAAGATGTAAAATATTTTAAAGGAAAAAAAAATATTTTCAAAAAATTTTCATAAGCTTAATCTTGAAATTGCTTGTTCTGTAAAAGTGGAGTTAAATGTAACTAAGAAAAGAAATTGTAATCTAAATACAGAAGTCAATGAGAAAAAGAAAGAAGAATATATTTCTGAACTACAATTTTCATAGAGCATTGCTTGTTTTTGCTTTTTATTCAACTAGTATCCCCCCATAAAACCAAGAAATTCAAACCGGAAGTCTTGCAGTCTTCCTATGACGTCATAGCAGCTCATATTAATGTAAATCAATGCATTCATATCATCAAGAGGAAGTTATGAACGACTCTGATTGTACTGCCATCTGATGATAATAGAGAGAAACTCCGTCAGGAATAGGGTTAATAATATTCTTGTTTTTGGACATTTTGTCTCTTTAATCAAATTTATCAGTCGTTATTCACTGCTAATGTTTCAAAAATATTTCTTTTATCATAATTCTTAGGTTGAAAGAAATGCTTAATATTAAATTTAATTTTCTTCCACCATTTTTATTGAATTTACATATTTTTAAAGAAAAATTTTAAAATATTAAAATACGCAAGAAATTACTCAAAAGAATGATTCTAAATATTCATATAAAAATTCTGTTTGTTTTGAGTTCTTTGTAACAAAACACAAAAAAAGTATTAGTATATAGTTGATCTTATTTCGCTTTCAACTCAAAGTTATGGAGGATTTTTTTATTTTTATTTTTTCATTATCCGCCGTGAACTGAAAAATTCTTAATGAGATTTAAGATCAAATTCCGAAAAAGCTAGGATGAATTCTTTCTTCTAGTTTGTTAGAACTTTCTTTCGAAAACAAGAAAAAATCCGTTTACTGCAAACATAATGATATTTTACAGATATTTTTTAAAACTTTCTAAAATATTTCTATACTTGATTTTTGTTTAAAATTTTTAAAGATATATGATACATATTAAAATTTTTTCTATGATTAATTTTGCTTATTTTATGATGAAACAAAAAAGAAGTAAAAAGAATAGAATTCTCGTCTCATAGACAAAGGTAGTGATTTAAAAAATAATTATATTACACCGTATGCAAAATTAGAAACGGAAAATGTTATTAAATTTTAATCTAATGTTCATATTTTCTCATATTAATGACATTTATTCAGTTTGAGAAAGTGGTAGTTTAAGTTACAAAATCAAACCCAAAAATGCACTTTTTCTGAATAAACATATATTTTTATAGATAGATTTGTATTCCAAATCTTCAAAACATGGGGAATGGTTCCTCGTGTCGAAAACGTAGCCAAATTGTTTAATTAAAGAAGTGGACACAAAATTTCATAGCTGACAATTAACTTTTTTTATAATTCCGGGTGTTTCGCTAAAGGAAGCTCGATTATTTATCCGAAAAACTTGGAAACAAGTGCCCTAGACTTAACTATACTGGGCTACCACATTACTCATACTAGTCTTATTTTTCAGATTGTGGCTGTCACTCCCTAATTTTGAGATTCAAAAATCAAAATCCATCAAAAAAAAAAGAAAAAAAAGAAAAAAAGGATATGTTTTTTCACACAAAGTGCTTTTCTGTGATTTCGTAGCTTAAAATATCATTTGCTCAAAGTTATTAATTAGCACTGTCAAAATCAACTCCTTGAACCATTTAAACTATATGTTAGTACGAGAAAATCTACCACTATCTCCGACATCAAAAGTTAGTGTGTTCCATTTTTTTATTTAGCGCATTGTACATAACTGGATACCTACAAGTGATGTCATCGTAGGTAAATCGTGGCATTTGACCATTCAGTAGCCAATCAAGTTCGACACACACGCGCGACGTCACTTTCAGGCAACTTATTAAATATGATTTAAATCACATGCTTAGGCATAATCACATCTCTTCTTCTCGAGTTACAAATATTGTGCTGCTACGAGGAGAAATCCTCCAGACTAAAAGTCTGGAGCTGTCTGCTGCTATGGAGCGAAAGCACATTTCTAATGGGAGAGAAATAGAAGAATGAAGTGGTCGATTTATTTTACTCACGTTGACCTTTGCCAAGATCGAAACAAAACTATTCACCCAACACCCCTATTCGAAGTGACTTTTCCTTGCAACCATGGTACCCTCCACGAAGTGAGACTGATGTCTGGAGGAATTCTGAAAACTCCACAATACCCAATTGTATAGATCGAAGCGTAATTTAAATAGTTGTCTCTGTAATGCAGTAGATTTGAGTAGAAGCCAGACGTTTGGTTAAGAGGAACGTATTGGGTTCGATTCTGAATATGATCAAAGATCTGAGCTGTACAAACAACAAAGTGTACAATAAAATTTACATTGCTAAAAGCATTTTCTATTTTTTTAGAGAAAAAAGAGAAAAGGAAATCAGCTCTGTTACTGATTACCTCATTAGAAACCACGTG